ACTGTTCAGTACACCACCGTCCTTCTTCATACCTCATACTTCAACTCCCATCACATTACACAACACAGTCGTCACAATGCCTGGAATTGATCTCAACGGTTCAAATGGCACAAACGGCCTACACATCCGTAGACCAAACCGATTCCTCATCTGGGGCGGTCACGGCTGGATCGCCGGCCTTCTGAAAGACCTCCTCCTCCGCCAAGGCAAAGAAGTCTACACCACAACAATCCGCATGGAAGATCGCGAGAACGTCGCCAAAGCACTTGAGGTCTTCAAACCAACGCACGTTCTCAACGCTGCGGGCTGTACGGGTCGACCTAACGTCGATTGGTGCGAAGACAACAAGGCGCAAACTGTCCTTTCGAATGTCATTGGGACTTTGACGGTTGCGGATGAGTGTCATCGGCGAGGTGTTCATTGTACTGTTTTTGCGACGGGGTGTATATATCAGTATGATGAGGAGCATCCTGTTGGAGGCAAGGGGTTCAAGGAGACTGATGCTCCGAATTTTGATGGGAGCTTCTACTCTATGACGAAGGCTCACGTTGAACCTGTGAGTATTTCTGATCCCAGTACTATACGTGTCTAACATCATTTCATTACAGATCTTGGCAAGCTTTGACAACATCTTGATACTCCGTCTTCGCATGCCAGTCAGCGACGATCTCAACCCCCGCAATTTCGTCACCAAGATATCCCAGTACGAATTCGTAGTCGACATACCCAACAGCAACACCATTCTACACGACCTACTCCCTGCATCAATCATCCTGGCAGAGAGCAGAGATACCGGTGTTTACAACTTTACAAACCCGGGCGCTATCTCGCATAACGAGGTGCTCGGCTTGTTCAAGGAGATTGTTCGACCGGCGTTTACGTGGAAGAACTTTAGTGTTGAGGAGCAGGCCAAGGTGATCAAGGCTGGACGGAGTAATTGTCAGTTGGATAGTACTAAGCTGGTGAAGAGGATGAAGGGGTATGGGTATGAGATCCCTGAGGTTCACGAAGCGTATAGGCAGTGCTTTGAGAGGATGAAGGCTGCAGGTATCCAGTAGTGGTTAATATTTTTAACATTCTTTGATTTAGTGGTAGCTTTGACCTCAGAAAAGCTCTACTTATACGATCTGGTTCACTTTGCTATTCATACTCAAGACTCGTAACATCTTGTCTGAATTCTGAGCTACTTGTTTTGTTTCGAGGTGTCACTGGTGGCTCCCAGCTTTTGTTACTACTCAAGGTTTCCTGCAACGCTTCAAGTTGTTAGCTTCCATTCATCTGAGTTCTCTTATCGAATTAAACCTCGAGAAACATGATAAAGATGGCACGTTCTCATTGTTGCTATGCGGACTACTTATTTCCGAATGCCACACTCGTCCCCATCTACCAATCCTTCGCACAGTCCCCCGGTACAAACGGCGCCCAATCCATATCCAGCACCATCTTAGCCTCAGGACAATAATTGTAAATATGCTCCCGTCTCTTCTTCGTGCCCCAAATAGTCCCATGCATCCACCCCGTTCCACCAATATGATATCCCATAGGCTCATATGACCCATCCCGCCAATCATCAATCCCTTTCACCCACTGTCCCGGTCGTCCAGGCTGCTCCATCTGCTTCATCATGTTCACATGCTCACACTCCTCATCATCAAAGTCGCCTTCGCAGTTAGGGTTAGGTACTACCTCCCCAGGGCCGCCGTTCATCTCGCCTGAGAATAGCTGGGATACAGAGCCATTTGCGACTCGACCGTCGACATGATGGCCCAGGCGTGTTGAGAGCCATACATCCTCTGGATCGCTATCATTGGCGCGCTGTTGGTTCTGCAGAATGCTGATGATACTGCTTACCCGACGAATCGACAGCCCGCCATTCCCACCATACTTTCCTCTCGTATCCCACGGCGCTCCAACATAGTCATACCCCAAAAACTCATCAATAGTCCGTTTATTATTCGCGCAGAGTATGGAGTCCGTCTGAAAAACAAGCAACATCTCCGCCGGCTGCAGTACAGTATCATACAGCCATAAATTCGTCAAGAAGCGAGAAATCATCTCTTGGCCCGCAGTGCTCATATTCGAGGGTATATACGTCAAGTCCAATTTCCCAGACTTGACGTGCTCGCGCATGGCGGCGGAGGAGTTGACGTGCGCTACTGACTCGTTGGAGCCCATGAAGCGGAACTTCCAGTCTGGCGGCATCTGGTACATGAATTTGAGGATCAGAGGGGCTATGATGGGTTGCGGTCTGTTTTCTATGAGGAGAGCGACTTTGGACTCGTTGTATATGGATTGGTTGGCATAGTGAAGAGTGATCTTTGGGAGGGTCGGTAGAGGCACTTCTGTCAGGTTGAGGGTGATGAGGATACTGCAATTGTCAGTCTCGTCGCTATCAATAGAAGAGGGGAGTATTTACCCGGAAACGGTAATCAGTCCGATGATGGCGATTCGCGATAGTGACGATAGCCGTCGCTGCGCTTGAAAGATTGAACTGATCATTGTGATGACATGTAGAGATTGATGGCGATGGCGGGTACTGAAAGAAGCTGCTCACCCAGAAATAAGTGCGATTGCATAAATCGGAACAGCATTGCAAATCGTGCTGGATAATTAGCCCCCATGCTCGGAGTATCCTAAGTCTGACCAGACCTTAGTGGCAGACCTTGCGAAGGGATTGCCAAAAGGGGTATGGACAAGTCCAAGTACGCCACAAACTCATGCCCACTCCTTTGCCTGTTCACAAAGGCCAACTATGAACATGCAGACACTTTGTTCTTTTAGTTTGGAATCATGCATTGTCCTTCAGAGCCACTTGTCCCTAAGCCAAGAGGGTCGCTGAACCAACCGCGATTTCAAGGCCTCTCATTACTTTTCTTTTATGCACTTGCTCTTTCATGCCATTCCTCGCCAAATCTACAATTCTGAGTCACGATGCCTTCCTTTATCAACTCGAAGCTTCGGCGAGATTCTCTTCAAGCGCCTTTCCTTGCCATCGCAGCATTACTCTTTGCGTAAGCGACACATCCGCTTTCATCGGCGCATCATCTAACAGCTTCTCAGATGGTTCATCGCACTCGTCATTCTCCCACAATGCAAACCTGCTATCGCTTCAGCTCGCCAGAACCTCCCCTCGATTGCCATCGACTGGTCTCCCAACAATGACCCCCGAAAGAACTACAACGCCTCCAAAGTAGCTCTCATCATTGAATATGAGCCATTACCCCTTCTAGTCCCTCTGATCCTCCACATGATCGGCGTTGTGCCCCCAGATTGGCGCTTCATCTTCATCGGATCTCAAAAAAGCGTGTGGACTGTTGGTCGAGCTTTCGGGATCCAGGTTCAGCAGGGTTTGGGCAAGATTGAGCTCATGCAGCTGCCGCAGCCGTGGAAGATCAGATCGAGGGAGGATAGGAGCCGTCTTCTTACTGATACCAGGTTCTATGATGAGTTCCTGCCTGGGGTAGAGTGGCTCTTGATGTTCAGCTCGGATAGTATCTTATGTGCCAACTCGGAGTTGAGCTTGAATGACTGGCTAGATTATACTTGGGCAGGTTCTGCTGAGTAAGATACCTCTTTCTTATGCTCTCCAACAACTAACAAACATCCAGCAACAGAGAAAACAAAGCCCTTGCAGTCTACGGCGATCTCTCCCTCCGTCGCATCTCAGCCATCAAGCAGATCCTCAGCTTCCAATCACGATACAACGACAGTGCAGCTGATGATTCATGGTTCGGCACACGTCTCGAGGTCCTCCCCGATGCAAAACTAGCCATGACTTCAGATCGCCCCTTTGCCGTTCAAAACAACATCACCTCAAGGCCGATGGGGTATAACCTTCAAGCACATGGGAATCTGGTGGACCAAGACGTCTGGAAGTTTCCTGAGACTAGGAAAGAGGCTTTGAAGTATTGTCCGGAGATACATATTATTCTCAATATGAAACTTGAGAAAGAGAGGTGCCCTGGGGATAATCTCATGGGTCAGATTAATGCTACGACGACTACGATGGAAGCAGCTTTACCTACGTCATAGAATTGTTCTAGAAGTGTCTTATTATTCTATTCATCATCCAACTCTACTTCCAATGATGCCGTTTCTTTCGACTGTCTTACTGATATGCTTACCATTTGTTGCTCGGATCTCAGCGCTACAGAAGTGTAACCGATCAGGACTCTTAGAATCCCTAATCACTTTCGGACTAGTACACAACGCGCATCGCTCTTGAGATGCAGAAATGTAGGCCACTTGGCTATACGCTAGCTACTGTCGAGCGCGCAGCCGTCCGGGGGATCTAGATACCCCTCGATAACCCTTCAGGGGCCCGCTCTCCCTTTTGGTCTAGCTTTTGTCGTCAACAACTACTAGTCTGTCTCGTCGGGCGCCATCCCCTCCCGTGAAGGGATGAGACAAATCCGACCGCGCTACTAACCCTGCCGCCCTTGTACTAGGCAAAGCTTATCTTCCAGTCCGAGACCACAAATTCGATGGTCTTCGCCCATTCGGAGCGGGATGTGGAAGGCGAGAAAACTTGAGCCTTGAGCCTAAGGGATACAAGTCTTAGTAGTTTGGCCTCAGTTCGGGGGCCTCTTTACTAAGTTCATTTTAGGTCTTCCGAGTTTTCAGCTTTCATGCTCCCTGCGGCAAGCAACGAGTAAACTCTACTGTGATTCTGTGCTGGAATTAGAGTTGTCCTGCGTGGGGCAGTAAAATGCCAGCTCCCTCAGTGCTCAGGGGATGAACCCTTGAATGGAGATGGAGAAAAGCGAGGCCTAGCTTCTAAGTACTTGGCCCAATGACAAGTCGGTGACCTTATCTTTTTCATCCATCTTGATAGTGATATGCTCCCAGAAAGTGATTTGCCCAAGTGTCATTCTGAGTTGAGTGCTGAGACTACACTTACATCACCCGCTTTACCTCACCTCGTTGCCTCTCAACACACACAGCTCGACCTCTTCACTCTCTGCCCATTCATCTAACCTGTACACTCCTTACCCTTCATTATGTCTCCAGCAGCAGGTTCAAAGCTGTACCTCATCCCCGAGGAAGTATCTCCGTCTTCATCTGCAACAACAATAGACTCTTCACCTCAGACGTCCAACATCGACGATGACGATTTCGGTAGACGACCAAGTGACTTCGAGCTCGATGACCTCTTTCACGATGATGAACCGCTTCTATCCGAGCACCACGATCATGTGCGACAGAAGGAACAAGAACAACAGCCTGTGCCTAGAGCATCGAGCTCTGCGACGAAGTCAACGTTTTGGACATTGGTCAACGTTGTCGCGACAGTCTTGATTGTATATCCCCCTCTTCTCTTTGAACGCCGCGATTCTTACCGTGCTTCAGGTCTTCACAAACAAAGCTATCCTCTCTGGCAACTCCCTCAAACACGCACAACTCTCCTTCGCAGCGTTCCACTTCACCATCACTGGTCTTGTGCTCTTCATTCTCTCCCGCCCCAGATTCGCCTTCTTCACACCCAAATCCGTCGCTGTTCGACAGATGATACCGCTCTCCACCGTCATGGCCCTCAACGTCATCTTTCCCAACCTCTCGCTGGCATACTCGTCTGTGCCATTCTACCAGATCTCCCGTATCTTGATAACACCTTGTGTGGCTGCTATGAACTTTGTGCTCTACAGAGCTACTCTCCCCTTTTATGCTTGTATGGCGCTAGTTCCGGCATGTGTTGGTGTCGGGATGGTGTCGTATTTTGACACCAAAGCCACGAGTGCGAGTGCGGCTACGACTGGGCTGTTGGGTGTCGTCTTTGCATTTCTGGGTATTTTCTTTTCGTCGCTTTACACTGTCTGGCTTGAGAGTTATAGAAAACAGCTTAGTATGACGAGTATGCAGTTGTTACTCAACCAGGCTCCTTTGTCTGCGTTCCTGCTGCTGTACTTTATTCCGTTTGTTGATAAGGCTCCTGAACTGGACGGTTTATCTCTAGACCTTTGGGTCTTGATTCTCATGGTAAGCTCGTATCCGCTCAACGTCGTAAAATTCGTTCTCTGCTAATGAGGCGTACAGTCTGGCATCTTTGCAGCCTTGGTCAACGTTTCTCAATTCTTCATTATTGCGGAAATGGGTCCGGTGACTAGTACCGTAGTCGCTCACGGCAAAACCTGCATTATCGTTGCTATCGGCTGGTACATTTCCGGTAAAGATGTTGCTGATAAGTCTGTCATCGGCCTCATGATGGCCTTGCTTGGAATAATCCTGTGAGTAAACTGTGGTATGTGCCGTGCTCTGGACTTGTCGGCTGATCTGTTACAGGTACTCGGCCGCTATTTTGAGACAGGGCCATAGGGCATAAAGTATAGAAGTAGAGTGAGAGAAAACATAAATGGGTCGCAGGACATGTCATAAATTCACTTGCGTCGCGTGTGTGCAATTGCCGCGGGCTTATTCTGGGAAATGCTGGATGCCTGCGGGTGAAAAGAGTAGGGGTCGAGTAAGACACACACTGGAGGGGAGCATCATAACTAGGGTTCAGATAAATACTTAATTTTGGAGGGGCTCGGGGCATTGGTTTACCGAGCTTGGGAGGTGGGGCTGGCCCGCTGTAGCTGGCTTGTTTGTCCATGTTTGCGAAACGTTATGATAGCACATTACCCTGTATCTGCATAGTAGTAGAAAGAATAATACCAACACAGCTCAATTTAAGTAGTAATAATAGCATAAACATAAAATATTTATGAAAGGTTGGAATGTTTATGTGTCACTAAACTTTACTAGAGGTCCTCGCACTTGAGGCGTTTCTTTTAACTTTATTATTTGTGTCAATTGATGCTTTCCGGCTAATGTGTTTCCACTACCCACCCACTGTACTGACAGCGCAACGAGAGCAGCACAATTGAATCATGACCGCTGAGCTGTGAACAATAAGCGATCTTCTATTACGGAACAGTTTACATTTTGAGACTATTTATTCACTCGATTATTTAGTGAAATGTAATTCCGTTCATCATCGTAGCACGGGCTGTTGATTGATTGAGCGTTCAGAAGCGGAAGATTGTTCCCCCGAGGCTGCACTGACTCTTTTTTGGTAGAACCGACCTTGACACTGGCATTTTTTGGTTGCTCTGTCGACCAGAGCCAAGCATCACCAACTGACTCCACTTTCGCCTCAGCTTCAGATCCATTTCAGCAGGACTTGTCATGATCTCACATTTCTCTCCCACATGCATCATGAGCAGCATCAATCAACGCATTCTTTTTTGGCTCGACGACCTCCCTCCTCATCCACCTCCCTCCCTGCAACCCATCACCAAGAAGCGCTCCCTCTCCGACGTCAATTTCCCGCCTTCGCCTCCGCTCTCTGGCGACATGGAGGAACAGCCTGCTACTCCCGCTCCCAAGAAGCGCAAGCTTGGGCTTTCCAAAATGTTGCTTGCGCGCGCTGAGGAGGAGGCGAGCGGTGATGAGTCCGGCGATGAGACACCGAGACAGCAAGGGTCGCGATCTGTGACGGATACTTCTTCGCAACGTGGCTCTTCGCGCCAGGGTACCAGTATATCCAAGCAGTCATCGCTGACGAAGCACTTGTCCGCTCTGTCGGCCCAGCCATATGGCCTAGTCCAGAAGTCGCTCAACGTGTCGGACTCAAACGTCCCTGAGTCTTTGAAGGAACTGTACCAGGACATGAAGAATATTTCTGATGGGAACAGGGCGATCCCAAAGTATCTCGAGGTTAGCAAATTCCTTTCGCTCATAGTCTGGCTTGCCGACTGACACAGAATAGGAAGAGATCTCATCGCTTCCCCCTGCTCATGGGTCCTTCACGCCTGGCATGTACGACAAGGATGAGAAGCAACACCCCCCCGCTTCCCACCGAAAAATTCCCCTTAGCGATGTCATGCTTCTTGTGACAGAGGCTATCCGCTGTAGCGACAGCTCGTTCGATGAGCATGCATGGAACGGGCTCGTTCACCTCCCCCTCCTCAACGCCGTCTTCCACGGATCAAACTCTCGCCTCCCACAACTCGATGGATTTGCGCCTTGGTTAGTCCCTTAGTTCTTGTTCTCTCAAACTTCGCTAACACTCAGAAACAGCACCAGCGCTAGCACCATCCCCCAGTACAAGATCAAGTCCGCCTCGGGCAAGAAGGTTAATTACGTCTGCTACATCAATCCGGAGAACGATCCAGCGCAGCCAAACTTCACGGCCACCATCAATACTATCCGCGCGAGTCTCGAGGACGCTTCCATCAACCACACCGACTACATCCCCGACTGTCCCATCTCATTCAGCATCGAGACGAAACGCGGTGATGAGAGTGGCAAGAAGGCCGCACTCCAGATGGGCGTATAGCATGCGGCTCAGTGGAGACACTTGGAAAAGCTTGCTGGTGATGATCTGGAGCATCTACCTTTCATTCCTGGTGTGATCGTCCAGGGTCATGAATGGAAGTTCGTGGCTTCCATGTTTGTCGATCGCAAGACGGTGAGTGCATTTTCCTCTTTGAGTTTTTATGGTGTCTGATTGAGTGATTTGCAGATTCTTTGGACGACTAGTCGTGGCTTTGGCTCGACAGAGGAGCTGCCCTCAACCTTCCGTGTCATCGCTGGTGTCCAGCGCTTGAGAGTCTGGGCGCTCGAGGTTTTCTGGCCATGGTACAAGCAGTACGTGCTGAGCCCGGAAGCACCATCGACCGCATCTTAGGACGTTAGCGTCAAGTATGAGCACTCTTATGCTCGACCTACCGTAAGTTCTGTCTTCTGCGCCTTTATCAACACTGCTGACAACATCTTAGTTCAAAGAATGAGACATTCCATCCTATTCCTGTAGTTGGTGCTCTGTTATGATTTGGAAATATCGCTTGGATCGTTGAGAAAGAATGGGGATCTTGGGCCGATCGTTGGATGGTTGCTCTTGGAAATTGAGATCAGGATCAATTCGTATATGGCATTTGTGTAAAGCAGAAAGCGTAATATTCGCATCCAGCTTGGCTGATGGCGTATCTGGATCAGACCATCAGCCGTCTAATAGCAGATTCATTGGATCATGCAAGTCCAAGAAAGTTACGTTTTCACTATTTTCTCGCATACTATACTCGATGCCAATTCACGATAGTTGCTCATATCGTATGCTGACCAGCCATACATAGCGTTCGGGGTGAGAAAGGTTCTGTTCAACTGAAAAGCTGGCGTGTTCCATCAAAGTGTTCGCCCATTCTCTTCCGTTACCTTTCTGGCTTTACGTATTCATATGTCATTATGCGCATGGTGGTCATCTCAAGTCGCGTGCGCGACACCCTAAACACCTCAAAAGAAAAGAGACAAATGACCGCCATTCTTTAAGCAACTGAAGAACTTCACGATAGACCTGCCCGTTCATATCCCTTGATCCAGTATTCCGATTGCAGGAAGACACCAACATTGATGGACTGCCATGATTTGATCGGATCGACGACAGCAAGATTCAAACGCCGGATCAGCTACAGATACATTCACGCATTAGCAAATGGGTCAAAAATAGGTTGAGTCGCCTTGTGTAAGACTTACATCAACTAAAACTTTATCAAGCCCTATTAGGGCAATATTCTTCCCAACACATTGCCACCGTCCGTATCCAAAAACAAGCTCAAGAGTCCCTTCCATAATACGAAGGCTATCAACAGAGGAATGTAGCCATCTTTCTGGACGAAACTCATCAGAGTCTTCACCCCAGATGTCGGTTCGGCGGAATATACCCCAGGCACAATAGCCGATCTTGGTTCTTTCAGGTAGATACTGCCCTTTGAAGGTATCACCACCTTGAGGGACTTCCTTGCTCATGAGGCCGACGACTGGCGGGTGGATTCGAAGGCCTTCTTTGATAACGGCTTAGAGGTATGGCATTGCTCGTGCTTCAGCGTCGGTGACGATTGGATGACTTGATTTAGCGTTGTCGATCTCTGCTCTCATTGCGTGAACTACGCGAGGGTTGGATGTGATGTAGAGTAGGTTTGCCCGGATGGCAGTGGCCGTGGTATCAGCACCCGCTAGACTTGTGGAGTATCAGCTACCCGTTGAAGCAGTGAGAACTTTACTCAAATTTGCATCAGAATCGCGGATTCAACCTCATGCTGAAGCAATCCCCTAGAAACATACGAGCCAATCATGCCTCTCTGAAACTTGGGATTTGGACCAAAGCGTTCGGCTGCAACCTTCTTCGCAATCACCATAACTCTACCCACACCAGCTTTGTCCATCTCCGACGGCAGAATGCTTTTGAAAATGGGAAGCTGCAACAGTTTGATCAACCAAGGCATCACAGTGGTAGTGATGATTGTCAGCATACTCTCTTTCGTCGCAGTGATGTAACCATTCACATTGGAGTCGGTCTCCAAGTCACCAAACGCCTCACCAAATCCCAGCGCAGAAATGACGTCGAGAGTGAAATACTGGGCCTTGTACCCAAAGTCAAAAGGTATATCTTCGGATATGTATTCATAATCAAGCAATTCGAGCAACCGTTCGACGTTCTCATCTACTGTTGTCTCGATGTTATCGACTTCCTTGCCGGAATAGGCTGCTGCCATTTTCGAACGAGTGATGGCGTGCAGATCATCGTTGCGCTGGTACAGAACGTTGTGTTTTGTTGGATCCAGGTGCATGGCGTCGTACCAGTTGGAGCCTTTGTATCGTGTGCGCACATTGAGCATGTGTTTCATTAGATCTGGGTCGGATGTAATGAAGTCGTTGGGTCCTACGCGGGCGATGTCGCCTGTCCACCGGTGTCAGTTGGCAAATCAAAGTGTTGCGATGAAGGCGATAGAATGACACCATGTACAACGAGACCACAAGGTATGACAAAGTAACCTGGTAAAATCGCGCGCATAACAAGGCGCAGCAGTTGTACTCACCATATTTCTTGCAAGCTTATCAAAGGCCAACATGTGTACGACCACCACTGACCCGCGAGATGAGCCATAATTGACTGAAACCCGCAATGGCAGGGCCTTTGAAGTGGCGCAGGCGGGCCCATTGATGAATCGTCTAGACAATATACCAGAAAACAAGGCCAACTCCTGTAAGAGCAGCAGTCCAACCATCAAGCTGAATAAGTCCCATGGCAGAGTCAATATCCTCAAAAATATCCATTGTAACATGAGTGAGTTGAAATGTCTCCGCACAGCGACTTTGGACGTCAATGTTACCCCGCCTCTTGATACATCCAGGGTTCGTTAAGCGAGACTTTTGAGTGATATGATAGCGACGATCTTTGCTATTTAAGGATTTGAGAAGCACGGTTTGCACCCTCCCATTGTGATTCGCGTGCGCGATCAAGAATTGCTCCCCAGTCCCTGGCTTGCAGAGCTATCTCTCCTTAGACGTTAAAGAGGGTCAGGTTCTCGACTTTGGGTTTCTCGACTGAAACATCTGCATCTCTGCCAACCTTCTCGAGGCGATGGTGTTACCGCAGAGTATAGCCTCTACTACTGGTCTGTACGTACCAAGCTAACAGCCCACAAGACTTGGCTGGAGATCTTCATCGCTTCGAGGATGAGGCTTCAGACTTAAGTCTTGGAATAAAGAATCGGCGTTCATATACGGTCTACGGATGATCCGTCCCGAGCTATTGAATCAGCCTGCCCCAAGTAGCATTGGCACCGAGAACCGTTTGTAAATGACTGGGACACTAGTTACTCAATACTGTGACTTTCCAGCCTTGAAGCATGTATAACTGCGAGGAATGCTCGTCAGCGCTGATAAAAGTAAAGATCTGTTAGCTACCATCTAGCCACTCTCTATTATTCACGGTAACTGGTCTTACCCTGATGCTTTGGAACCTTATGGTGGTGTCTGCTACGGTTTCGGTAAACGTAGTAGGTTAAGATGCCTGTTCCCTGAATTATCACCATGCGGATGCGACTACTCAAACGATCTTAGAGCACGTCACCAATAGAGGCTGTTCAGCTAGTGACCTTGTCAAGAGCGTCGTATCGGTAGCCACGCCGGGCCATTTGATCCTGGAAGGTATACATAAGACTCCAGTAACTGTTGCTAGAAGTGGACGGAACTCTAGAGCTATGAATTGAGGCCAAGCCAAAATTGTGTAAGGGCAAGTCGTCTTCCCTCGTATATGCCGGTGAGCATTGGTGGCTTATATGGTGCATTTTGTGCTGCCTACTTTGGCCCCATTCAAAAACGCTGTATGCTCTCCTTTCTAAAGGGATAAAGAGTCATGGAAATGGTAGTAGCGTACGCAGGCGACTAAAACGCTGAACCAACCAACCTGTTACTTATTGAGCTGGATACTGAAGTTGTGATCTTCATGGGCAACCCCTTGCCATCATACTGTAGAACCTTGCGAGGACAATATAAAGCTGAGAATCATATAAATGACTGTGCATATGCAAACGACGACCACCATCTACTAGACTTATTTTACAGCTTACAGAGAGTATGTCACTACTGCATACATTGGCATGACGGCTATGAAGTCAACCTTCAGGCTTGGAACACAGGTAACGAGTGAGAATACGGGCTACATATTAGCTACCAATAAAGGTTTTTATATCTCATTGAACAAATGCTCAGATATAGTGTCTGATTATTCTTTTAAGCCTCTGTGATCGAGGACTTTGGTTTCTCCTTCTGGTAAGCTAGAGCGTGGTCTTGTTTCAAAAAGCTCTCCTTGGAGTTGCATCCAATCTATCTTACTATTCGAGATATGAAGCTTGTCAAAATCCAGATCGTCTTCATCAAAGTCTCGCATGATATTGCGAACCGAATCTCGCCCCTCAATGTTGTCGTCGTCATCCCCTGCGATCTCACGATAGTTCCAAGGTTGGTCAAGGGTAAAGTTGCATTGAACGATTGAACTTCTGTCTTGGATAGAGAGGATTTCGGCAGTTGACGCGCAGGTTTGAAATGGGTAAGTGTTGCTTTCTGGTGGTGTAAGAACTCCATAGGCCACGCAATCGGTATATGCAGTTAACCAGGCGATTTGGATTTCCGTGAGATATCGGAAAATCCCCGTCGAATGGTTTAAATCAGGTTGTCCGTCAAAGATGAAAGAGTAGGAATTAGGTGGCAATCCTTCCCTCAAAGATTCAAGGGTATGCATAATAAAACGGCAAATCGTTCGGCTGGCATGTGCATGATATATCTGATGTTGATTCAGTTCATACTCAGGAGGTGGAATGATGGACTCGTTACGAGTGGGGAAAGTCCTGAGCTCGCATTCTTCGCAGGACCGAGGAATAATATTTCGCCATAGGTTAACCCGATGCTCAATAAATAGCTGAGGATTTTCCTTCGTGAAAGGTATCAAGCCAATTATGTGACACTCAGGGTTCCCAACAGCCATTCGATCCTCATTGAGTATTAACTTGGTGATGAGAAGGCGTTGGGTCTGTGACATGCTCTTCAGGAAGCGAATGGCTAAGGCTGCAGCCGAAAAGAAATGCTTGCGCTGGTAACAGTACCTTGTACCAGTGTAGCCCTCCTTTAGATATTCGCTGTAATGCCACAGGTCCAATTCATCCCATCGTTCCTCCAACTGAAGCTCTTTGATCGTATGCGTGATTTCGTGCATTGAAGGTATTGCCCAGAAGTCGAAGCCAAGTTCGAAAAAGTCTGATGTTGGGTTGGATTTGGACTCAGCCCACCATGGAAGAACATCATTAATTGCCTCCCTGAACTTCTCAGGATTCCGATTTGCAATCTGCTTTAGCAAGTAGGTATATGCGCGATTGCTTGATATATTGTTGTCGTGCCCCGATGGTCTTGTGAGGTCGCCTCCATCGTCTTGAATCCCTTGCCATCCTTGAAGTCTAGCATGTAGAAGTTTGCATTTGAATCTGCATTAAGTTCTGGATGGCGGGTCTCTCGATCAACTACGTCGGAAATCCTCTTTGCCACAACTGACGTGTACCTAGAGTCGTGCTGGGTGGGTGGTGTCTTGTACATATCGGGAGTCAAGCAATGTCTGAGCCGTTCTAGCATGGCACCTAGAAGACGGAAGTGATAGGTTGTAACAACGTCAAACATAGCCGCCTTCTTTCTCCAAGCCCGTCTGTAGGCTGTTGAGAAGGTGATGGTGTTGAGAGTGAAAGGGTAATGGTATGTTTCGAGAGCAACCGTGCGACAGACACGTCGAAGTGATAGGTCAATTGAACATCGATTGGCCTGTATTAACTTGTCGGATTCGGCATCGTAGATGTAGCCCCCTTCGATGGTGAAGTATTGTATGTAGATTTGCTCGCGCATTTCCAAGGGAAGATCTAGGAAGCCAGCCCTTGGCAGGCCAGGGAGGATTTTGACAGGCATGATGATGGATCTCTGTCCTGTGTTGCAGGTATGTGCGAGGATTGAAGAAGAACATGAGAAAGAGACGTGGTTGGTGAGAGATAGAGGGGTAATTTATAAACGGCTGACCACCGACATGGCATGACTCACTCAGCGGTATCGGTGTGCGCCCGAAAGTTTAACCGATATGGGCAACAGTCAAGTGCACATTTTCACCAATCAATCATCAGACAGATATGGATGCGAGGGTATCATTTGAAACTAGGTTCTCTGTGCTGGAATAAGCTCACAACCACAAATCTCAACTGCAAATA